CACGAATTGCCACCCCTTCGAGTTGTCAACCAGCTGGTCTATATTAGGCATAGGGTACGCATCTTTCGGACATACCTTATTTAGGTCGGTATAATCCGTGCATACCCTTCATTTCCTGTTTGGCTTTTTAACCATCACCACATTGGATAACCAGGTGGTGTACTGTATTTCCCAGATAAAATTGACCTCTAATAGCTCCTTAACATGATCCTCTAGTACTTGCCGACGTTTAGGACTGAGCTTTCTTTTCTTCTGAGCTATCGGCTTAGATCCTGGGTATACTGCTAACTTATGACAACAGAAAGCAGGGTTTACCCCGGGAATCTCTGTCGACTTCCAAGCAAAAATGTCCTTACTATTCTTCAGACATCTGATGAGCTGATCTTTAAAATCGTCTGTCAACCCTTTGCCGATCTTCGTGGTTTGCCCTTGTTCTCCAATTGTTATTTCTTCTAATTCTCCATCGGGTTCTGGCCTCGGCACCTGGGTATCATCCCTCATGTCCAATTCTACCATGTTAACTGATGTCTCTCTCTTCTGGCTTGGACCGACCTGGCCCCTGTCCTTACCTTCTTTGATCTCGGTCGAAGATACGGGACCACTTTCAACTGCTTTAACCGACTTGAAATAGAATTCTCGAGATTCTTTCTGATCTCCGAAAATGGTGATCACCGTGCTCTGCTTGCCGAGCATCTTTATCTTTTGATGCTGGGTAGAGACCAACATATCCATATTATGAATAGTTGGTCTTCCCAGTATCACATTATATTCTGAAGGGAAGTCAACTACAATGAACCGTACTCTTTCAGATTTGAATGCCTCTTTCGATCCTAGAATAAGTCTAAGGCCAATATATCCTTTAGGGGAGGTGTTCTGGCCATTGAACACTGTCAAGGTCGTCTTACAAGGCTTCAGATCTTCTTCATCCAGGTTCATCTTTTTGAACGCCTTCCATAGGATTATGTCAGCGCAACTGCCGTTGTCGACAAAGATTCTCTTGACTCGGCAGTTGACCAATGTTCTAGTTATAACCAATCTGTCAACATGTCCTGACATTACATCTTCTAGCTCTTCTCTGGTAAAGTATAGCAACGACGGCTCCGGATGCTTTGTTTCTTCCTTGGATTTTGGCCGTCCTTGGATTGTCAGCACCTCCCTTAAGTATTTCCTTCTGGCATTCATCGTGTCACCTCCTCCACCAAAAGCTCCACTAATCACATTACATTCAAATTCTGGTTCTACAAAATCATCCTCTTCTCTGACCGGCTTCTTACCTCGGCTTTCTTCCTTCAGTCTTTTTTCTTTCGCCGGGCTTATTGGTTGACCTTTTCTTTTTCTATTGTTCCTCCATCCTTGGGTTCTTATGAGGTACTGGTTCAACTTGCCATCCCTGATGTACCTTTCGATTGCGTCTCTTAAATCCCGACATTCATCAGTGGTATGCCCTGGTCCATCATGAAAGGCACAGTATCAAGATTGATCTAACCCGGCCTGGTTTAGTAAGGGTCCTTCCAGATTTGTGACCTGGGTGATTTGAGGGGTGCAAATTTTTTAAATTTCCCCCTCACTGGAGCTCTTTCTTCTTGTCTTTTACCTCATAAATCAGTTTGTCTTCGATTCCCAGGTTTTTCGAACGCATTTGGGTTCTGTCTCTGATCTACGTTCTCCAACTCCATTTGTTCCAGCTCAAGGTACTTCTTCGACCGAGCTGTGAACTCTACCAGCGTTCGAACCAGATCCTTGTATACCAATTTGGCCAGCCTAGAGGATCCATGCAAACCTGCTATTACCAGGTGTAAACGAACATTTCCAGACAATCCTGGAACCTGTAAGTCTGCCGTTTTAAAGCGGTCCAAGTATTTTTGTAGAGTTTCGCCGGGATGCTGCCATATTTTCCCCAACGCAAACTCGGACTTCGACTGTTTCTTTCTAGTAGCAAAATTCAACAAAAATCTCCCACCGAATTCCTCAAAGGATCTAATAGACCCGGCTGGCAATGATGAAAACCACATTTGAGCTGCTCCTGTCAATGTGGTTGCAAAAAGTCGCGTGATTAAAGGTTCTTCTATCCCCTTAATGTACATGGCCGTATCAAAGGCATCCAAGTGCACCTGGGGATCTTGACGTCCATCATACTTAGGGAGCTCTGACAGGTTTAAATTTTCTGGGAAGGGTGCATCAACAATCTCGTCCACAAAAGGACTATCGTTGTATTGTCCCTTGTTGTACTTTCTTCTGTATACTCCGGACACATCATCCGGGTTTCTAACTTGTTGCCTGTCATTATGAGGCTGGAAGTTCTCCATTTGTCTTGTCGGATTCTTCTTCCACCTCGGTTGCCATCATGACGTGGCTCTTGATTTCGAGCCGAGTTAGTAACTACCCTTTGACCTCGGCTGGCAATGTTCCTTATCTGACTTTGGGTCCCCCCTCGATTATCATTGTTCTGAGGAGGATTCGTGATTCTTAAGTCAGTCATGACTTGCGTTATCGCTAGTGCGGGATTCGGGTTCGTGGCCCGCCATAGCCGAGTCTCCAATTCCTGAATCTGCCTAACATCTTCTTGCCTTTGAAGCTCATTCTTCTTTTCATCTCTTCCATCCTCATGAGTACAGCAGCAACAACCAGATCTGTCACCCGCTGATCATTGTTTGCACCATTTGGCATTTGTCCAGCATTTGCAATCTGTCTTTCAATTGGCTGTAACCCCTCCACGTATGGGGCGTGGGGGTTAACCGCTGGAGTTGATGCCGAGTCAGAGTGCATATCACTGACATGAACAACGTCGGTATCTACCTGCTGATGGTTATTGGGGACACATTGCCCCTCTGGATCGTCCCTGATTGGGGGGATTGGTTCATGTTTAGGATTCGTCATCGATGGCTGCCGATAACCTCTCCTGGTGGTCCGCACCATTTGGATCGGTGGCTTTTAACCACATGGTCGTGGAAAAAGTGGTGTCTCCACAGACGGCGCCAATGTTTTGCCTGAGTGGCAGAGGTGTCTAACCAAGGGTTAGCTCGTTGATGTTGGATCTAATGCTCTCTCTAGATACCTATGAATTAGGTATCTTGGGGGTAGCGAATCACGACACACGATATAACGGCCTTAGCCAAGAGAGGGTGGTGTGTGTGTTGTGTGATTGCATAAAATAGGGTTAAGAGAGATCAGTCATATTTGTGGTCTTTAACTCATATTTATAGAGTTTACCTTTGGATTGATGTCGTCTGGACCTTCTGTGAGTATGGGCCTTGTTCGGGTCCATAACAATTTTCTAGAAATCAAAATTGTAAAGACTTTTAAAAAAAAAATTGTGCTTTACTTTTACATATTTCTTAAGAAGCTAAAACTTGGCTTCTTTTATATATATATATATATATATATATATATATATATATATATATATATATATAAAATTTGACTTCTTTAACTTTTGTAAATTCAATTGAAACATATTCGTGATTTCACAAGGTCAAACTCAAAATTTCAAAATTTGAATGAAACATTTTTTTTTTCCCCAAATACATTAAAGAAATCGTTCTGTCATAAAACCTCGTTTACTCAGAGAGAAAAAAAAAGGATTTACTATCCATGTATAAATTTTAGTAATTAAAAAATGGGATTAATGTATGTACCAAAATAAAAAAAAAATGGGATTAATGTTTCTTATGTTGTAAGAGATAATTTTATTTCCTACACACATAAAAGTATGAGAGACCTATTTTTTTCTCTATTTTCTTCACATGAGCCTTACATACTTTTATATATGTGTAGGAGATAAAATTATCTCTTACAATATAAGAAACATTAATCCCTTAAAAAATTGGATAAATTACATTGCTCGTACTTTCTCCTTCTCTAATAAATTAATGTGTTATATTTTAATATGAATGAAGCTTCAAAAACAAAATTTCCTTTTCTCTCTGCGAGTATCTACATTTACAATTAATTTCAAACCCTTTATACCAACTTCAAGATTTAAGAAAATGAAATGAAAATTTTAGATGCAATTCTAAAACTATTAATTAAGAAGTTAAAAACTCAATCTCAAATCCTTAATATAAACTACGAGGCTTTAAAAAATGATATGAAAATATAAAATTTCAAAACAAATAATAAAAAGTTAAAAACATAATTTAATTCTAAAGTTTCAAAAATAAAAATACGATCTTTAAAATCAGCCACCCTCTACCGGTAATACTAAGATCCGTGGAGAAAGAAAAGTTTATCACATTTTCATTTCTACAAAACGAGTATAATAAAAAAAAACACACACTATAAATTAAACATGTCTGATGTATAATTTATAGTTAAAAATTATAAGACCAAATGATGGTCGCGAATTCAATTCAAACTTTGTTTCTATAAAAGAAAAGAAAAAATACATGCGTTTTCCCCCTCGGCTATTGGTTAAAGTTTTAGGGAAAACATTTTCTCCTTTTAAACTTTTCTCATGTTAGTGACACATTGTATAAGTGGGTCCCACAAAATAGTGAAAAGAAAAAAAAATTTAAGATGAGACCCACTTATACTTTGAGTCACTAACATGAGAGAAATTTTCTCCTTTTAAAGGAGAAAATATTTTCCCAAAGTTTTAACAGTACAAAACTTGAACCGCAGAAATCCCTTTCCACAATCTTTAAGCGCTGGTTTTTGTTTCCATTGCATTTGGCTTTGCTCAAAATATCCACATGTAACCAAATCATGGTGGAGGTGAAAACATATATTCAATCTTTCCTAATACCATTGTTAAAAGGGATTTAAAGCCTTAATTCTGAAACATATCCCAAATCAAACTAATCACAAAATAATGAACCGATTAAAATATCTAAAAATAAAATAAAATTAACCACTTGTAAACCATAATATATAAATATATCCCTACAATCCTTTACTTTCCTCACTTTGCTCTTGAAAACACTGAACTCAATTTAGATATTCAAATCCACAAAAGACTAAACACAATCTACATAACCCGTGCATCAATAGGCGTAAAAAGAAAATGGAAGATAAGAGTAAAGTCAATTAAAACCCTGGCGTTCAACATTATTTACCCACCAAATGTTATGGTAGTTACACTATTTTTTGCAAGTAGAAAATTAAAAGGAAAACATACTTATTCAGTACTGAACAAGGGTTCCAAGCATAAGCCACAAAGTACATAACCAAAACTCAAAACAAAGAAATTTCCGAAGCAGCTTCAAAGGCAGCATATCAGTTCCTAACTATAGTTTCAATTCTTCTTCACGGTGGCAGCATTGATGATGTCGATGAACTCCGGCTATTTACAAAGAGAAATCAAATTCAGTAGTTGCATAAATGCAAAACAAGAAACCAAACACAACCAAAATAATGGGGAAAAAGAATCACCTTCAAGGAAGCACCTCCAACCAAAAATCCATCAACATCAGGTTGTGCTGCCAATTCTTTGCAGTTTCCTCCAGTTACAGAACCTGCAGTTAATATGTGGCAATTAAATAAGAAATTACTAATATGTAACTATCAACACAATCTTAATATACCAATTGGAAACCTCCAAGGACCAGGACAATAGACAGCTTAACAACTCTGAAAAGTGTAAGAGTAATACAAAATTACCAATGAAAAAAATAAAAAGGTCAGAACAACCTCTAACGAACCAAATCTCAGAAAGTACACAACAGACTTGTTTGTGCTTGTCTATGGCAAATCACCCGACATGCTTTCCCACCTTAGCTTTCTCTAATGTCTTAAAACTCACACCATGTTTATTCTTTGGTATCTAAGTAACTGCATATGATACACAACGATATAGGGTAAAGAGCAAACGGGAGTACCTCCATAGATAATTCTTACAGTCGCAGCAACTTGAGCACTCACATTGTCATGAATCCATTTCCTCAAATCAGCATGGACCTAGGCCAAACATCCAACAAACATTGTCAAGACAGCACAATCTGCAAGTTACTTTTTACACAAAATACGGAATTAGGGCAATTAGATGGCAGAAAGAATGAGAGGTATCAACAGTCTAATTGGACATCAGAGCAAAGAAATAAAAAGGTTTCAGATAGGGCGATACAGATCTAAAAATAAGAGAACCATGAATTTTTTTTATTTTTTTAAAGTATAGTGCAGCCAATTTTTAACTTAAACAACAATGTTATTAATGAAATGTAGGCAGCCTACCTCTTGAGCCTGAGCAGGAGTTGCAACCTTTCCTGTCCCAATGGCCCAAACTGGCTCATAGGCCAGAACAACATTATCCCAATTTGATACTTTAGCTGCAAATAAAAATTGAAGTCAGTAAATATATGATTGCCAACAAAATAGCAAGTGATGAAATAATGACAATCTGCTACTGCAATTAGATGAGTTTTTTTAACCAAAACTGCAAAGACTTCCACACAATATTTGTGAGAACATCTTCTCACAGAAAGGAATAAAAACATAACAGTTAATCTATAATTGTATATAAATAACATAAAACCCTTATGAATGGGGTAAAAAAGTACCTGCAATTGCTTTTGTTTGCTCAGCAACAACAGCCAGTGTTGTGCCAGCTTCACGCTGTTCAAGAGTCTCACCAATGCAAGCAATAACTTTCAGACCTTGTGAAAGTGCATATGCAACTTTATCTCCCACAAACTGTAATAAACAGTAAAGCAGTAAGAAGTGCACAACCATAGTTGGTAAATGATAAACTTTTGTTAATACAAGTAACTTCACAAAAAAGAACTTATAACACAACCAACAAAAAGGAAAATTTTAAAAATATAAATCAAAGACAATTGAACACTTTGTACCTCATTTGATTCCTTTAAAAGCTGCCTTCGTTCAGAGTGGCCAAGAATAACCCAAGGAACTCCCAAATTAACAAGCATTTCAGCACTGTTCATGCAAAAGAAATAATAGACAGAGATTAAATGATGGATAAAGGTTTAAGAATATGTGCCCTACTATTATAAATCACTGATACAAAAAGAGAGAGGGAGAGATATAGACAGTTATTACATGGCTCAACTGAACATGGAAAGATCAAAACCCTTAGGGAGCATTAGTTTTAGGAGATGGATTTTCATTCCTGGTAATAAGGTTACCTAGAATGATATTCTTAGGGATGGTATTCCGGGAAACCTATCATACCCATGTTTGATATTCCTATATGGACATAGAAACCCAGTCCCAAGAATGTGTAACTATAAGAAAAAAATATCCCTGAAAATAAACAAAATTATCTTCTTCCTAGCCACTACCCACAACCACCTATTGTCCACCCACCCACTCCCAAGATTCTTGAAGGAAAAACGAGGGCAAGAGGGTCGTTGTGTAAGACATGAATCATTCCCTTGTCATGGGAATGAAACATACACACACCCCTCCACTTGTATGATTTGGTGAGAATGACCCTAAACAATATGCCTGGGAATCTTTTTTTAAATCCTGTAAGGCTGAAACAACATGGGAACGTTGTATGCCCATCTCAACATTTCCAGGAATATAAAACTAATCTCCTTGAAACAAATGCTCCCTTTAAGTCATTAGCAATAGAAACTAAATGCAAAGCATCAAAGTGAAACAAAATGAAGAACCAACAAATAGCATACCTAACCTCTCCGGTAAAAGCTCCACCTTTGCGAACCCAACAGTTTTGTGCTGCAACATGGAAGTCAGAGCGCAGTAAACCTTTTACAAAGGGAAGGAACACATAGGGGGGGCTCACAACAACTTCTGTAAAAAAGAAACACCCTTATTAGCATATGTCAACATCAGCAACATAATCATCATCAACAACAATAAAAATTGGATAAACTTATTTGAAAAATAAATAACTGAAGCGAGATACCAATAATGGATATATGTACCAGTTAAGCAACTATAACAAATTCTGTCGTTGCCAGTAACTTGATATTAAGTTAAAAAGTTCTGTATGGCCCATATAGATAATCAATTTTTTTTCTTAAAAAACCGTGTAAATGTCAAATACAAATTGCATAGAGTACAAGCATAGCAACACCATCTATGCCGCCTAAAGAATTTTAAGTCTCGTTATAACAATTCAAAAGGGTACATAATTACGTGGTTCTGTATAAAAATAAACAGAATTATAAAATTTTAGCACTCGGTAGTTTTCTGATTAAGTTCCTCAAGCCAAACAATAGTCCAAATTCATATTGAAATTTACTTAGCAACATAGACCACTGCCAAGAGTGAGCTAAGCATGAAATGTTTAGCATGAAAAGAGATAACCCCATGGGAAGCTTGCTTAGACTCACCCACAACATCTTCTCCAGGGACTTGACCTTCGTTCAAAGTGCCAACAATCTTCTTGACCTCTTCAGTGGTCCCATTCTGCAACAAAATTCAATTCAAAGCATCAGTTATTTATGCTGATGCATCACTTCAAAAGATTTTAGAACACTGAGATATCTTAGTTATTTCTATAACATGGGCAATAAGAAAAGATCCATGAAAAAATTTATACCAGGCAGATAGGAATCCCATCAACATATTAGTGGATGCTTTTGAGATCATCACAAAAAAAGTTCAAGTGGATGCTTCCTTTGTGAATAGGGATAAGGATCTTAGTCCAAAGGGTGTAACTAATCACTATTACTAAGTGCTTGTTAGATCGGGAAAGAGAGTGTATCAGACATCAAATGATCCAACATAAATTCACAAACAGACATTAACCCATCGGATCTGATAGTTAGAAACACAAATGTTTCAGATTCTTGAGATAGTTTCCGAGCTCATCCCAAATATTTAAGATACCAAATTTCATTCATCGAGATTTAAACAAATTATTTCACAAACGCAAAAAAAAAATAAAAAAAAATGGTGAAAGAACGAAAGAAACATACGCATTTCCAGTTGCCACCGACGAAGAACTTTCTGCCCATGATTGTATTGTTATTTCGATTCCGACGAGAAAATGAGAAGTCACAAACCCTTGTTCTACGATGATACAACGTCAACTACAAGTGACTGTCGAAACTCGATACAGGCTTTATAATACAGATAAAACCGAATATGCTTTAGGGCCTTTCCCTTTTTCTTTATTTACATTATTTTAAAAATATTATTTCTAGATGCACCTTGAATAAATTTGTGGCCATTATTATTATTATAAGGAAAAAATATCTATCATTTTAAAGGATGTAAAGTTATATCATTTTAAGTGAGAGAAAGAGATAGATAAAAGAGAAGAGAAAGTTATATAAATGTGTGGGTCCCATCTCTTTATAAAAATGAATGGATATAAATTATATCATTTAAAAAAATAAACATTTTTCCCTTGTTATAACTGCTTCCATTTTTATTTTATTTTAATGTGGCTATTATAATTTTCAATTAGTAAGAGTGTGACATTGACTTCTTAATGACAAATGGTTCGGCCGGTAAAGTATGGTAGTCATCTAAATTCAGAGACAAAAGTATATTTTATTTATGAGATTTGTATTTGTCATTTAATATGACACAATAAATTTTTCTACACACATAATATTTTGTGGAGCCCACACTTTTTGAAGAAAAAAGAAAAAAAGAAAATTACGGCACGCAAAATGAATCTCTATAACATTACACAATTATTTTTCCTACAACGTAACTCTTATAAAATCCTTTATTTATATCAAAAAAAGAGAGAGTATATTTTATTTTGATCCAGGCATGCCCAAGTATCTTCGAATAAAGAAAATGTATTATTCCCTAATCAAAAGTCTAGATATGAGAATGGAAAAAATAATTTTAGAAAAACCGCTCCAATAATAAATCTATTAATATTTAAATAGGATTAATCGAATAATCGATCAACGTGATACCTTCAATTTCATCTTTATTAATCAGTGCTTTCTTCCTTCCACATAAATTTGCGGTTTTCTTAGCACGTCCATAAGAATGGAACTACATTATCTCAACTTTCAAAATGTTGTGATACTAGTGAGCCAATGGCAACCACAAACTATGATGCAGCAACCTCTAGAAAATAGAAAAAGAAAAATCATCCTATATTGTCATTTGTCATCTAAGAACAAGCCTTAAACTTGGTGTTGCTCTTGGCAGCACTGGTTTTAGTTTAGGTTTCTAAAATTATTTTTGCGGTGAGTAAAATTAATTTAAAAAAAAGTAAATCAGTATATATTTTTTTCGTTTTTACAACAAATGGCAAATTTTTCAATTTTCAATATATTGGTCGGTGAAATTAAAAGCAATGACGCATATTTCAGAAGCATAATGCGGAGACATCACAGCTGTACTGTACTGAATCCATGTGGCCCAGTTCTAAACTACAAGATCGGCCCAACCTGAATTTAGTACTACCGCTCACCTCGATTTTATCGAAAATATTATATTAACATGATTTTAATTACGATATATTACTAGTGTAAATTTTTTTACATATCTAGAATTTGAGATAAAAATATGAAAATTGGTAACCAACAAAACTCAGGATATTTAGTAGATAGCTAGATCTCTTAAACATATTGACAGAGTTTTAATTTCTGACTATGTATATGAAAAATACTTTGTTGGTAAAAGTAAAATTTATTTCGATGATTTCTACGCTTCGAGAAAATTAATCTTTAATTGTGGTGGAGGAGTACCTGAGTTATATTAAAAAAATATATGAAAATTGGTAAGTTGAACTTAAATCTTCTACTAATAATGAATCAATCATTCTGTAGGTGCTAATATTAGAATAAATATATACTTAATGTGATTTAAAGAATAAAATTTAACTAATAATGATTCTTCAAAAAATTCATGTATGTAATGATTGATAGATTATTTATGTGTCAATATTTATAAATTTTCTAATTAACTTTAGCTCTGAGGAAACCAAAGGCAGTTCAGATCTCAATGCATGCACAATAATTTATGTTTTATTATTTCCAAGTCCCATATATAACAAACAAAATTGATATCTATAATATGAGCCAATGAAGTGACACTTGGATGTACACCCTATCTTTACATCTCCCCTATGTGATCTGAATGAACTGTGAAGTTTGAAGTATAAATTAGTTTATAACTAAAAGAAACAAGGGAAGGAAGACGAAATTAGAGGAGTGAAAGTGAAAGATGTTTCCAGGGTCGCTATCTACGCCAAAGGTGGACGTAATTATAGACATGGGCAATCCATTCCTAAACCTCACCGTTGATGGTTTCTTGAAGATCGGAACCGTAATTTCTCAACTTCTGTAACTGCTTATCATCTTCTTTCTTTTCTTAAACATTCCGAACCAACCTCGTACATGGTTCTTCTTCAGGTCGCAGCCACGCGGGCAGCTGCCGAGGATACCTATCATATTCTCCAAAAGGGTAAGGGTCGGTATTTCATCATCCCCTTATCTTTTTTTTTTCTTTTTTTTTTAATGCTGTTTCCCTTTTGTTAAAGAGGCAAAAGATGTAAACTTTAATTCTTGGGGATTATTAAAGTTTATTTTTTTTTATTGCTTAAATTCAGGTTATATTGAAACATGAAAGCTTTTTTTTATTTTTTCTATTGCAATATCTTGCTTTACTTTGCTTCTATCTGCTTTGCTTGTGTGGTAGCAATTCAATGTTCCTCGTTGTTTTGTTTTGGATTATTGTTTTCGTTTGTGTAGGTTTTTGTCAGACTAACAGAAAATGCCTGTTCCAGGAAATATTTCAAGTCGTGATTTTGAGAAAATGGTAAGTTCGTGATTTAATCGTGGCCAATTCTTTAGGGTGAGTTTCATTCCTAAAAATTCACATTGAGGCTTTGAATTGTAGACATCTAGTCTAATTTAAGTATGTAGATTAGTATATTGTAGCCAATTTTCAACTATCTATGACGCCTCCCTTTTTAGCATATCAAACACTTAGATTATCTTCCCCGTAACCTTTCAATCGTGCTTTCATGGATCTTCTTTAAAAGTAGAGTGTTGGGAGAATTAGTCCTTGCAAAAAGTGATAACTGGGGAGATCCCCCAAAGGGTATGCAGGAATCCCTTTCAATAGACGTTTCATTGAGCATGCTATTATTTATTCCTTGTTCATGAGACATAGTTTTGTTGCAGCTGAAGAAGATGTGTAAAGAAGGTGCATATTGGGGTAAGACCTTTATTGCATGATGTTTTAATATGGCACATTCATTTAGTGAATGCTTTAGCTCCATTTAATGTGTTTTCTTTTTTGTGCTTACAGGAACTGTAGCTGGCGTATACGTTGGAATGGAATATGGGGTAGAGAGGATCCGTGGCACCAGGGACTGGGTAATTCTCTCCACATGGTAGTTGGACTTACCATTCATCCAACCACCAGCATTTCCTACAGCAATCTAATTTCACTATTTAAATAGACTTATTATGAGCTATGAAGCACCGATACGCGTTTTCGATACGTTATTCGATGATACAGGATGTAGATTACCAAACAATACGTTTCCGATACGCGTATCCGATACGTTGGAAAAAAATTTTAAGGAGTGTCGGTGCTTCTTAGATTATGAGAGCGAGCCATGGAGCAATGATAAGGTTGTTTCTTATGACCGGAAAGTCACGGGTTTGAGTGTGAGAAACAGTTTCTTTGCATAAATACAAAGATAAGGTTGTGTACAATTGAACCTCATATGTACCCTCCCAAGTTGGGGAGCCTTTTGCACTGGTTTGCCCTTAAATGGACTTATTATGATTTTTAGATTCTATGCTAGATATTACACTTTTTTCTGGACTTGCCTTCACTATTATGGCATCTAATCTGATGAAAAATTTAAAGCTGTTTGTTAACAAGCATGATGTTTGGCTTTAAATGAGTCTAATAGTAAACTGGATATTGTATTAGAATTTAGAACAATGCCCGCTACGGTATTAGCTCAAGTGGCTGGAGTAAATGGAGATGTAAATAGAAGTTATAGATTCCAGTTGTAGCATCTACCCTTTGATATAATAATTAAAAAATGAATTTATAAAAATTGGAAGTGAAATGTATATTTGGTAAATTGTAATTTTATTTTTCGGCTGAGATTCTTACCTTAGCCCTTATTTTCTTCCCATGGACTTGGATTTATTGCAGAAGAATGCCATGATTGGAGGTGCGGTAACTGGGGCTCTTGTATCTGCATGCAGCGAAAATAGGAAAGACAGGATTGCCATAGACGCCATTACAGGGGCAGCAGTTGCTACTGCTGCAGAATTCATAAATTACCTTACCTGAATGAATGAAAATGGATGTCTTCCTGGTATTCTTGCGTGTTTTGAAAAGGGATTTGCACAATAAGCCTCTTTTGTCATCATTTGTATTGGTCCCGTATTAATACTGAATTACTGATGCAGTTATTTCCAAGATATGCTAGTTGTTTAGCTTTCTGTTAAACCTATGTTTTGATCAATTATATTGGCTAATCGGTGGTGTGCATGATAGTAGCTCTCTGTTGCAATTTTGTCAGTGACATGTTCAGTTCAATTTAGTCTTTGGGTTCTGGTATTATCAAGGCTCTGGATGAACAGGTTTTTAAATTTAACCGTTCTTTCCTGGTAGGTGGATCAAGTTTATCTTTGCGTAATATAATTGCAGTTGTAGATTATGATAGGAAGTGGACATCTGTTGTAAGGTAGGAAGGTTTTCCTGTTGTAAGCTTGGCATATCAATATATCTAATCTAATTATGGTTCGCTTAGCACATACAGAACAAATATAAGTTAAGATCTTAAAAAAAAAATTCATGCATTTTACAATTTCCAAATTATCGTCCTATGATCCTCACTCAAGAATGTTGTCGTGTAGCTGAAATTAAATAACTGCACTGAGCCTCTACTTGACTTCATTCAGAACGTGTATTAAAATATACCCGGAGGACTTCAGTCTCAAGTGTTATCACATTTTGTTCTGTAAACTGTTGTCCGAGTAGTTCAGTGTTCCTAGGCCTATTTTTACATCACTTTATACACATGTATTAATGTTAGTTATAATCATATTTCTTAAAGAGAAATTTCAATCCAAGCATTTTCAGAAAGGGAAAAAGTCTAGGGATATAAAAGTAATATTTATAACAGTCCAGTGTAACGCTCATTTGTAAAAGAATTTAGACCAATCTATGCCAAGGAGCAACAAGCAATGGACTCGTAAGTTAGCAGAATAATCAACCCGAACTGAATTCATATTCAAAGAAACTTCAACACATATAGCACACACACAAGCACAATGAATCTCATTGTCTGATAGCTGTCTCAATAAGTAAGGTGCCTTGTTCCAGTGATAACAAAACAAAAAAATTACGGTTCACAAGGTCATCCTCTCTTTTGTATGCTCGAGTGGATTCTAGCAGAGTAAATCACGAGGTTGCTCTTGTCAGAACCATTTATGTTGGCGCAACACAATGTTTATCTCAAGTTACTGATCAATACAACACATCGACTAACCTGTAACCATCACCTACAAATTATGGCAAGGTTAATCTTTAAGAAATAGGGTCTTCGCTGGTGTTTTTGGGGCATTCTTTCAGAAATTATAAATGTACTAGTTTGTAGTAAATTGCATGTTTTTTATATGTAAAACTAAGTGTACTTACAAAAATGCTATTTTACACATCCATAAATTTCATCTAACTAATAAATGAGCCCAGTTCATCTCAGAATTTATCTAGTAGTGTGGCTGAAGCTGGAGATGCAAATCAACATTTATACTCTCAGCATCTTTACCTTATCAGTGGTAAATGCAAACAAAAGGAGCTTCCAGAAGCAATGGTAGATGTTCTCTAAAGGTACACAAAATTTGTCAAAAATTATCAATCAAAATCAGGTCCGAAACTGTTCAGCAACTTTCAAAAGACTGTAAGTTTCAGCGTCTGGCCTAGCTCCTCCAAGAATCATCCTTCTCAAAAGATTTGGATCATAAATCTTAGCTTTTACATAAGCCTTAATCAAGGTATTATATACAAAAGTATACCTACAATACTTAGCTTTATGAAATTCTTCAAACAATCTCTCAACATTTCCCACATCACCATTCTCAGCAAAAATCTCAACAATTGAAAGAGTGGTCTCCAACCATGGGGTTGAATTTCTAACACTCTTGCTAAGTTTCAAACGCATGCCCAAGTCTAATGTCTTCAAAGCTTGCTCTGTCATACCTGATTTCAAGCAGCCCAGAGCAAGATGACGAAAAGTTATGGCATTCGGTTTGCACCCGTTTGTCTTAATGTTTTTGTACAGTCTAGATGCTTTGTTTACAAATCCATGTTTGCAATATACAGATATCATAGAATTGAATTGCTCTATAGATTTCAATCCTTTTGTTGATTTCATATCTAACCAAAGTTCTTCAGCTCGGTTTAGCTGTCCAATTCTACCAAGTGCTTCAATGGCTAACATATAACTTTTAGATCTAACAAAGGGGAGTTCTTGAATGATGCCCCAAATTCTTTCCAGCTCCTTTTGGTTCCCTAGATACCCATACAATATAAGCAGGACATCCAATGTTGACCAGTTATTCCCTGTAATAGACTTCTCCACAGATTCAACATATGCTTCAGTTGCAGTATATAACCTGGCCACTGCATGTGAAGTAGCTAAAATGCAGTAAGATATTTCATTTGGTTCAACCTGTGCTCGTTTCATATTACTGAAGACCTTCACCAAATTTTCAAGATTATGTTCATTGGCTTCTATTTTCATCAAAATGTTGAAGGTGGACACATGTGGGGTGACCTTATCAGCCTTCATTTGGGTGAGTAATTTGGGTATCATCTTCTTGCGGCTAGGTGATGAATGCAGAATTATGAGGCGGTTGAAAACCAAATGCGAGATGGGATAACCCAATTCCCTCATTTTTTTCATGTACTCAAGTGAAAGTCTTACGACACCTTTATCCAAACATGCAATCACTAGATTGTTGTAGAGCAACTCATTCTGAAATTCACGAGGAACACGAGTCAAGAGCTTCTCCCCATGTGAAATCCCATGAAACTTAGTTGTAAATTCCACAAGATAAGAGTAATCCAGTTCTCTAGGTCTATAGGGTTTCTCCCTGATCACCCATTCCATCACCTATATCAATAGCCATACATGAGAAAAACATTCAAGTGGTAAAGTTTTCATTTTTCCATCAACAACCAATACCCTTTTCATTCTTCATCATGTTCAACTCTAGTTTACAAGAATACAATAAATCTAAGTTGAGCAGAAAATATGACTGACCTCAAGTGCGCGTTTGTTCATCTTGAGCTTCCTGAGACGGTTAATGGCGTGAAAGACGTCACCGCCGTGAACAGGGAAACCATCTCCCATCCAACTACGGAAAGCAGACCCAACAGATTCTCCTTTGGGAAGCTTCTCGATTCTCAAAGACAGGCACTCCTGGTTTTGTGGTGGTTGGGTGCACAACAATTTCAAATTCAGCTTAAGATGAAGATGGGTTTCAATGCCACAAGGTGTTCGACGTATTGCCTCAATGAACAACCTCTGCGGTGCGAAGCCTATCAAACTTCGCATGCTTATACTTGCGCTCCCTTAACTCCTAATACCCCACATAGCTCTAAGTAATACTTGGGTCGCCACATATTCAATTCTTCATAACTTTAATGTACCAAAAAAAAAAAAAAAAAAAAATTATGAGTGGTAATGTTATTTTTTTTTTATAAATCTAAAATTTAGATATTTCGTTGTTATGTAGAAAATCTAATTTAAAAAGAAATACTTTCTTAAAAAAGTTATACAGTATATATAATGACTTTAATGTTTATAAAGTGAATGTAAATAATGTTGGACAGGTGGCTTCAATACTCAAGAGGGGGGGTGAATTGAGTTTTATAAAATCTTTTCGCAAAGTACCTCATTTGATGTTTTACAGACTATTTCTTCAATAAAGTGATTTAATAAAGAAGTGTCTAATAGTAAAAGCAAGTGTAGTGATCAACAAAGTAAGCAAGTGAATATATAAAGACAATCTAAGATGCAATTTTAATACTTAAATAAAGAGATTAAGGTTAGAGAGATTGCAAACTAGATGTATCCTGGTTCGGTCACCACCACCGTGACCTACGTCCAGACTGAAGCCGCTCGATCAATTCTTTTCACTAACTATCAAGCTTGAGGGTGCTTGACAAACCACTACAACTTTTCAAGACTTCGGGCTCTTGATGCCTTACACTTTTTCACTCCAAATTTTCTTAGGAATTTGGTGACCTTTCAAGTGTGTAGGGTTCACTCCCCCAGCTACTCAAGTAATCAAGGAAGGTGTTTAATAATGGCTAAGTACTCTCAAAGTACAAATAACACAAGTTGAAGAACAAGGGTATATGACACTCTTACAAGAATAAAACTCAAATAGGATTTATGATCAAGAAGACAAGAATAAGGCAAATAGGATGAGAATTAATGAGTAATGATGATCAATAAGTGTGTCCCATCAATGGGAACAATAGTCTCTATTTATAGAGGGCCCCCATGGCCTTTTTCCTACTCATTTTCGCAAACTAGCCGTTTTATAGCCGTTATTTTTGTCTCTGTACAGTAGGTAATCGATTACCATTGAGTGGGTAATCGATTACCATGAAGGGTAATCGATTACCATTGTTTGGTAATCGATTACCAACCTGTTGAAATGTTGGTTTTCGCCCTAAAATGGTTTTCTCTTGATTCACATCATTTTCAAATATTGTTTGAACATTTTATGAACATTGAAAAGTATGTTTTCATGTTAAGAATGTATTTGAATGTCAAACGATGATTTAATGCATGTATTTAAAAAAAAACTTTGAGCTTCATTCTTGTAAAGAATCAATTTACAAATAATCCTAAGTCCTACAGTATATTACTCTGAGTTTGGACTTAGTGACGTCTCTTGAAGCTTGAGTCTTGATCTTGTTTAGACTTCTTTTTGATGGTTGCTCCTTGAAGCTTTCTTTCCATGCTTGTTTGTTATCATCGAAATCGTTGAACCTTTATATTCTTTTCATGGAGTGCATTGGTTCTACAAATAAGTTATCTACATTCGCTCTCAAAACGATGTCGTTTTGGGTTGAAAAATTAAGAAATTATAATGAAAAAGACTACTATAACTCTAAAATAAATTATAATTACAAAAATACCTTAATTTCCGTCTCAAAACGACGTCGTTTTGGGCTCACTGTAGATAAATTATCTACATTGACCGTAGAAAAAGCGAACTCATAATACAATTCTCACTTTTATCTTAATTTTATGAAACATACAAATTAAATTAAATGACTGTTTATAACATTTTATTAACTTTGACTGATTCATACATAAAATACTATTTTCCCATAACAATTAATTTATGTAAATAAAATAGGGATAAGATATTGTAACAACTAATTATGATTATTACCAATCAATTTCACCGTTAGATTGATTATATTGATTCAATGGTTATACTTATTTACATCTTTGTATGGTTATGATTCCCCATATCTAATACTTTATATTTTTTTCACCTTTGTATGATTATGATTCTCTATATTTAAAATTAAATATGGAGAATCATAATCATACACAAAGATGAAAATAAATATAACCGTTGGATGAACACAATCGATCTAACAGTGAAATTAATTGATAGTAATATCGATAGTAACTGTAATTGGTTATTATAATATTCTACCTCGATAAAATATTATATGACATACATGTATTTGGAATTATATAAATAAAATATCCATGCATGCGTTGACATATTTTAGTTAATGGTAATAACAATGATAAAGTAATAGTTTATTAACATACACTGGCGGAGCCGGGTTCCAATTTGAGCACGAGCCAAAAAATTACATGTGTGTTTATTTTTCTTAATTTTAATTAATTCATATCATAATATATTTAAATTGTATTAAATATAGAGCACCTGAGGCCTGAGCAAGCAGCACCAAAAAGAGTTTTAATTTTATTAAATATTTTTAATTTTACTAAAAAATATTTTTTTTTTTTATATAAGTGGAAATTAAACACATAACCTAATACAACTTATTCAAATCTTTCACCAAAATTATTTTTAGTTTTAGATATGACCAATTATAAATGGTAGCCCGGGTCAATTATATTTTAACCTAGGTCAAATTATAATTAATTATATAATTATATATAATAAATACAATTTGTTAAAATTTAGCCCGGGCCGAAGCCACACCCAAGTAATACATAGCTCCGCCATTGTTAACATACATGCCAGTAAGACCTTTCACTTTTAACAATGACCAGAGTTATATTTATAAATTTTTTATTTATAAATTCTTATAAATTATATCATATATTATGGGTAGTACATACTTTACATGGTACAGTTTGTAGGAGTTTGTAAACAAAAAGTTTGTAAATATAACCTATCCCTTTAACAATAACATGATTTGGATTTAAATCCAAGATTCTTAATAAACATTTCCCTTTGTAATAAATCGAAATATATCAGATTTTGGAGGCATATAGCCAGTGTTTAAAAACCTGACCCGGCCATCGACCTAGCCGAGGTCAGGGGTCACGGGTTCAACCGGGGGGTCACGGGATCACTACGCTGACCCGATTTTATATATTAAAAAATATAAATATAAATATATCCTATATGAAAATATTAAAAAACAAACCATCAATCATCAAAAATTCAAAATATACTTAACATAATTCACCAATTACAATCACAAATCAATGTTAGACAACCTAATTAGTGTATCAAGATATCAAAGTATAAAATTCATATTCTAACGGGGTCACTATACTGACCCGGTTCTGCCTCTTTTGAGAAGGTCCATGATAAAGGAAAATATAAAGGAAGTAAGAATGAGTTTTTATTTTTCATCGATGACCGTAAGGATTTCATTTGAATGGGTAAAATTCTTACCAATTGTAAAAGATTCACAACAGCAATGTGAAGATTGAAGACGTCTAGGTTGCTGGGAGAGAAGATAACGATTAGATTTAGGTTTGCAAGCATTTTTATTTTATTTTTTTAATAAAACTATGTTGTCTCATGGAAATATTAAAAAAAAAAAATATGCAGTGACTCTCTTTGACCCCTCTGACCCAGGAGTTACTGAAACCCGACCGGGTTTTGCGGGTTGGAGGGGTCGATATGCATATAAGGTCTAACTTGTGACCCCAACCCTCAAAGGGGAGGGGTCAGGGTTGACCCGGGTCAATCCGGGGGACGAGGTGAGATTTTAAAACACTGCATATAGCATGATATTGGTATTAAAAAGTAAGAGAAAAGTTATATTTACAATCTATTTTAATTTATAATATTTTACAACTATATCTTAATCGTTGATTTTTATCAATCAACGATTATTATTTTCATAAATTAACGCATTAATTAATTATTAATAGATAATAACTGTTGATTGACGGAAATCGGTTAAGATATAGTTGTAAAAAATTATAAATAAGTATAATTTTTTCATCAATTAATGTCTCTACCAATACAGGGAAAGGAAATGAAATCTCAAATATATGTTATTTACATGGAAATTAATCACGCTATGCACCAAAACTCCATGAGCAACTCTACATCACATCTTCCAGACCAGACAATACTACTATGTACAAAATCAATCAATATAGATATGAATCCTATTCCGCTTAACCAAAATGAACGAAAACTAAAACACACTCGAATCAAACTCTAAAATAATTTTTTATTTTATTTTAGATTTCTTTACAGATTTATCTATTAATCCTGACAAGACCACAAGGACGGCAAAAATCTCCTTACCAATGAAGAAAGGCTTCATAATGTATGTGACAAAAACTAGTGCATGTGCTCTCCTGATGCTCTTATATCAGCTAGGAGAATTTCCAGCACAAAAGTGACATAACCATGGTAGAACTAACCAAGCAGCCAGTGTTAAAATGATAATGCATCAATAGAGTCCAAGCAAACTTCATTAGAAGATAATTTCATCTAATAAATCATCAATGATCATCTCCTCTAGTTCAAGTGCTACACACTCCTCTTCATGTTGAAGGTTCATCCAGCCACTTCTTTTTGCCAAATCACGACCCACGACATCATCTAATGTCTGATCTAACTCTGGTCTCAAGCTAAGGTATGAATTAACACTAGTCCATACTTGATTAAGAAGGTAGTTCCCCTTAGGCATTGGATGGAGTCGGTGGTTGAAGGAGAAGGGCCTTGGGAAGTAAGTTGGTGACCTCTCATATATTTCAAGGAGCACCTCGTTAACTAAGTTAAAAATAAGTTGGTGATCATAGGGGTTGATAATCTCTTCTTCAGAGGATTTAATTTCATTGCTCAAAGATGCATCCAAATCCATGAATAAGGAAGGCTTTATTGGCTGGTCTACTGTGTATGGCATTTGAATATTCTCATTTCCCATGAAGCCAGAAAATTCAAGAATGTCTTTCACATATTTGAAATTGGAACCGTTGTCTGCATCTGATTTGAAGAGCAGGAAATGATTGTCATCACTCTTGTTTGTGCCTTCAACAGCTACACTAGCATTTGTGTTGGATAAAGAGTCTGGCAAAGAATATACACTTCCTCCATTTGGTAAATCAGCCTCCAATTCGTCAAATGTAGAGTCTTGGGTATTCAATTCTCCACCTGGTATAATTTGGCCAAAACAATCACCAATTATCTCTGTTGCAGCTGAAAGCATAAGGCTTATATTTAGAGGGTAAAAAATTAACTGCAATATATCATTCAGTGACAGTTTTTTAGTTTGAAAAAAAAATTATCTTCATGATAACATAGCATCTCAAAGAAATAATGTTAGTTTCATGCACATTAACATAAATTTGTTACCTTCTGCATGGCTGGATGTATTGTCTTCACAACTTGTTTCAACAGACGCCATTACCTCCTTGCTAAGATAGGTAGTCATACTTATTTCTTCTTTTTCTTGGGGAAAACTTCCATCTCCCACCGCTGGCTCATATATGTCCTCCCTTTGGTCATAGGTAACTCCTTCATCAATTTTCTCCTCAACCTTATCAGATAAAGGACTAGGATTCACAATTGTGTCACTCCCTTCTACTATTTCTGCAATCTCAGCCTCTTTAAATTGATCAGGTGATTTGTCTGTCTTTAAATGAAGGCTCACTGATTTTCTATGAACCTGATTTTCAGTTTCCACTGTATCATTTGTATCAGAAAGTGCCTCATGTAGAATGAAGCCTAAAAACTCAAGATTAGGCAGAGACAAATTGCTTCTAGAAAACTTATTCTCATTTGACAGTTTTAAGCTTTTAGACTTTGAGCTTTGCCACTTGACTTCTTTTCTGAAGCTTTTCTCAAACAACTGAGTATATCTATCCAGTGATTCATTTAGAGAGGATGTTCTTCGCATGAGGGGAACTTCATGTTTGTTGGAATCATAGTCAGAAGCTTCAGTCTCATTTGAACTTTTATTATTTCTATATTCTTGAATCATGCCATCATCTAAGCTTTGTGAGACCTCTTTCTCATTATTGGGAATGCTATCTTCAGGTGAATCTGTGTGGTGGATTGCTTCGACAGAAGTTTGGTAAGCACTTTTTTTGAATTCCACAAGAGCATGTTTTATCTTCTGTTTTATAACTTTGAATTGATGAAGAACCAATTGATTCCACCCTTTGTGAGTTAATCCTTGAGAGGACCTTGAAGAAATGCTTGGTTTTTGTTCCATGGCACTATCCGCGCCAAGATCACTAACTAAATGCATTGGCTTCTCATAAGAAATATCTTTCACAAAACTGGATGCAGACATTTTTGGTGCTTGAGTACCAGCAAGCAACTTTTCTCCCTTGGGGAAGGCCCAAATTTCATTTTCCTTGTGTTTGAAGGTACTAGAGCTAACTTTTCTCATCTGTGAAGATGCGGTTAAAGGAAATGACCCTGATTTTGTCAATCTTGCTTTGTTTTGAGAAGCTTTATGGAAGTTTTTCCTACCAACGTCTAAGTTTCGTAGAAATTTGACTAATAAATCCTTCTCCACTCTAAATACCTCCAAAACATCAGTACCCTTCTTAAATTTATTGGAGATGTCTTTGTTAAGCTTGTTTGTTTCCATATGCTTTTGGTTAAGGGCAACTTCTGTTGTCTTGCTATCTTTCTCCAGATGAAGTACATACTCACTGCTGGCCTGGTTTTTCCCCGAGTTTTCTTCATTAAACCTTTTTACAGTGTGTGGTTCCTTTTTGCTATTTTTGTGAGAACTTTTGCCTGTGGCACTCAATTTTTCGCCATGTTGCCTGACCTGGTATTTATATTAGATTTAATTACATTATTATACACATATATATCTAAAATTGTTTGTGGCCACGACCTTAAAAATGAGCATGAAGTTTTTGAACTTACCAGGAGGGGTTCTGCTTCTTTAACTCCATATTGCTGGTCTTCATCTTGGTTATGCAAAATGGTTTTTCCCTTATCTGCAGATAGGTTAAAGAGCTTGCTAAGCACGTAAAGTCTTTGGCAGAAGCAAAATGTGGTCATGAATATTCAAGAGAGAAAAATGTCAAGTGATCAGCAAAGCCAGAAAAATGTCTTGAACAAAATCACTATCAGTTTTTCTCTCTATTTTTGAACCGGTTCCTTCATTAAATCAGGACTAACAAATAATTTTTTTTTATTAGACAGGGTGAGTGATATATAACTAATGACATAGTAGTTTGAAGGCTTTCAAAGCATACATAGAATCACCTAAGGTTCCTTGTGTCCTAACATAAGTAGTCTAGAGATTCCCTGATTTTGTTTTAGGCTTGATTTTATATATCAATTCTAATTAATTCCTCTGATAATATCATGTACTAAATTTTCCCTTTCTATTCTGTTGCATTATTTACACCTTTTGATGATTCCCTTCAAGATAAATATACGAACGAGTCCATTCCATATTATAAAGCCAATCGCAATGATTCATAATACCCAAAATATAAGAAATAATGAGTAAAAGAAACAGGATGTGGTGTCAAATTGCTTACATCTGGCATGTTTTGTCTTTTTGTGAGGAAAAACCTTTTTGACACGCCAGTGATGGTAATCAAGTATTTGAAACATGCCCCACATGCATCCTGGATTATTGTTCTGAATTTGAACAGTGGACTGCTCGGGAGTAAGCAAGTGCTTTCCCATAACTAATTCGGGTAATCTTGTTCTGTAGTTTTGAAGCCACTCGAGTGATAATCAATTTCTGCCACTAGGCCTTGTCCTGCGGAACCATGATTAAATATATAAAGAAGAAAAAAAGTACATGTCAAAGAAAAGAAGCATCATTGAACACCAATCTCATTCTTTACTTCAATTGTCAACCTTGGGTTTTAGATTGTTTTCCAATTTTCTTAACAATTACAACAGAAGAGGTTCTCTAACCTTGTTTTTCAATCTCCGGCTGAATGAAGTACCTATGGATGAACAAATAGCCTCAGAGGTGTTTTCAAAACTGTCTTGCAACAATAGAACAAAGGAACGGAATGTGAAAAACTGAAAAATCTTCAATGAACTTTTTAGTAGGATTAATTAAACCATCAATAGCAAATATTCATATATGTTCATATTACATGATTCTTTTGCAGCTATTGGTCCATACTACATACTGATAACGACATGCTGCCTCATAATTATATCCCCAAATTCATATATAACTAATATATCATTAGGACGAAGGAGAAAACATGAAATTATGAACAAAGGCTGAAGCTATCATATTAACTTAAAAGTGAAAACAATCAAAAGACTCTAAGAACATATCGTTCTATTACAATTTACACAGGCTGCAACCTGCAGTTCATCAAACCCCATCAAATAAAACCAAAACTGAGATTTTTTTTCGTAATAATTGAAATATTTAACAGAAACATGCATCTGATCAATATCTAGAGGAACAGATATATAACTTGTAACGTGAGAAATAGAGTTAATAATAATAATAATAAAAAGAAAACCTTGATGCTTCGTTTCAAACAGCCAGTAGCATAACGGAAAGTTCGTTATTCTTCAGCAAATATCATAGAAGTGAACGCAAAATAAGAAACTAATTAATGGGAATTAATGAAACTCTAACCTCTAACGGATGAAAAAAAGTAAAGCAGGTTCTTTCATGCGAAGCAGTTGATAAGAACAAGCTAGGAAGCTGTATAAAAGTGAACAACCTCTCTGCGACAAGTAAACTACGAGGTCAACACATGAAATATATTTTGATATATAATATTGTTATGGCTGCGATACACACGAGAATACGAAGTGGAACGAATAGAGCGAAAACAGAAAAAGCTAGTAAGTCCTTTTTCTGGTCTGGTCTGGTTTCTAGATATATGGAGTCCAACCCGCGTTTATGATCATCTTTTCTCTTTTCTCTCCTTTTTTTTATACAAATAATTGCACTAAAGTTTAAATCTATGACCTATTCAAATTACCCAAACTCTTCACAACTAGGAGTGAAAGTGGGCTGGGTTGGACCAAGCTTTGTCTCGAACAGTCTAAGCCTACGCCAAATTTTTTTTAATTTGGCCTGACTCAAGCCTATTACGAGTCAAACTGTTAGCTTGACTTGACCCGTTTATAAAAAAACAAATAGTCTGGCCTAGCCCGTTAGTCTGTTAATTTTTAACTTTCAAACAAAATCATGAATCAACTTTACAAAATACTCAAATTCTGTTGCTAAACCAAAAATCATAATTTCAACGTCCAAACAAAATCATGAATCACAACAAAACTCATACAATCTGCATTTAAGTCACTTTCAAAAGCAAAATGCTCAAACTAAATAACAAATATTTCGTCAGATTCAACAAACAAATCCATACTATGTAAATTAAAATAATCACATGAATCCAACAACACATCATGATGTTTGTAGTAAGTATAACCTCTCCCAAAAACCTTTTAATATATTCATATATACAATTTAATATGTTGAGATGTTAGTTCCTCCTATATAAGAAATAAATTTATATTATGCACAGGAGTCATTAGAAAAATAATCTTTGTCAACAAACCAATTCATAGAGGTGGCTATTTCAGGAATGGTTGCGTGTTTTTCTTACCAACTTAATATAGAAAAAAAGATATTTAAAAATGGGTCAGGATATATATATATATATATATTTTTGGTACATTGTCAGGAGGTATCTCCATTCAACCTTCTCCGGGCACTATGCCCTCGGGATACGGCCCGTTTGGGCTAGCCCCTCACTGTAACAGTGAGTGCACTAAGCTTGAGGCAGAGTTTGATCCCTGCACCAAGCAATCCCTTAGAAGCTCAGCTGCCAACTGAGCTACCCTTGGGGGTTGGGCAGGATGTATTTATCACTAAAAAAGTTTACCATCTTTACAACCAATCTAATCACCATTGATTTTTGTTTATCTAACTGTTATAATTTATTGAAAATTATTGAATCATATTTATTAATTAATTATTAATTCTCAATAAATTATAACCTTTAGATTGACAGAAATCAACGATGATTAGATTAGTTGTAAAAGTAATAAACTTTTTTGGTGATAAGTATATTCTTCCTTTTAAAAAATTGGATGAAAAAAGAAATACCTAATCTGATTTATGTCAACCAAAACCGTACAAGTTTTCTTAGGCTATCAGTTGACATGTCATAAAAAATCCATTATTAGATTATGTGAGCAAGCATGGTATCCAAATTAGTATAATCGCTGGAGCAAAACTGAGCAAGCGGGGTCTCCTATAAATTATAATTGGTTGAGGTAAGTAAGATATTACATTTATGATTTATATGATGTGACTTCACAAGTGCCAAAAAAAAAAAAAGACCGTAAAAGAGATGACCAGGAATCCTTGATTGAGAATTCAAGCATTCAAATATTTTCTCGCATATTAATTATGCCTCCATTCTAGACTGAAAATAACCCGCAGATGAAGTTCATATGCTGATTCTGCCCCTAAACTAGTTTGACTGACCAAATGGTATTCGATGACAATGACTTGTTCACGTTTAAACTATATAAATTGCCTTCTTTTTAAGTTATATTTATTCTCCAAAGCCTTGTGGAACTAATCAAATCAACGTTCAAAAATAGACCGTTCCCGTAGATAACAAGACACAATTTGAACACGTCAACCATTTTCAGCTTTGAATTGCACCAATTTTGAATTCAGACCTGGCTCTTTAGTTTTGATATAAACTGGACCCAGCCCAACCTAGAACTAACATAAGTCCACTTGCTATTTCTACAGTGGCATGCCCAATTAAAAAAAATTGATCATGGGATTTTCCTTTGTAATTTGGGTTGGAGTATCTCATCATATATTCCTCGAGCTTTAAAGGGCTAGTGGGGTCTCTTCGACTAAAAACATGTCTATTTGTCGTCAGAAGAATCGAGCACTTTAATAAAAAATTAAATATATATATATTTTTTTAAGTAGGTAAGTTTCCTCTTTATTTTCTCCCCCCTCAAGTGATCCTTTTCTTTTTTTGAGTAGGTAAGTTTCCTCTTTATTTTTTCCTCCCCTCAAGTGATCCTTGTATCCCACTTATGCTTCTGTTGTCTTTAAGCTTTAGGATATATATATTTGTTAAACAAAAAGATAACAAAGGTTGTCGAGTTATTATTGATCAAGATCTTTCAAAGACATACAAGTTAGGCTTGTCAAATAGTTTTCAGGCAAAGAAACTTCTATGGTCTAAGTTAATCTTGACTCTTGACCATGACAAACAATTTCATTAAAAAAATTAATATTATCGTTCTCTATAGAACGAATTAAAGTTACTAAGGATAAGTTTCTATAACCTTTATTTTAGTGGTTAATTAGGTCGTATACACATTAGGCAATTTGAACATTAGTAATGTCGTTGGTTATTTTATTGGTTAGGTCGTATACACAATAGTCTGATTATTAAAGGAGAGGGTAGTCTATGACTGTACAGTGAGAGGGGAAAAAGAGAGAGTAAAAGTCAACTTATCTTTTGAGGACAGTAGGTAAAGATGTATTTATTCTTAATTTAATTTAAAGTATATTATTATTTTAATTTATAAAGATTCTAAAATAAATATATTTTTGCTTGTTATTCTAATATTTATTTCCATTTTTTTCCATAATGGGTGGAATACAAAGTTTGGCATGCCATATTCAACACAAATTAAAGAAAATCTCTCTTATGGAATATTTCCTATCTTAACCACCTTCTAAGGATCCCTTAAAGGATAATTATCCAATTATCCTAACAATATAAAACAGTAAGGCTGCTAAGGATAGAGTCCCTATCCTAACAGAAAGGAAGTTGAATTCTACTACAACTGAGAGATCTACACAAGGCCAAGAGGTAACCCTTATAAATAAGAGGTTAAAGACCTCAGGTACACACTATGAACTCATTTACTACTTCTGCCAACACTGTGCACACACTCACGTCTTGGCTATAAGCCTATTGCTTGTGCGGAGTGATTGAGACATACATCGGCTATAAGCCAAGTATACATCTGATCATACAGTATATCTGAGCGCATACCATACGTATAGCAAT